GTGTGGGGGGTGGCGAGGGAAGAGGGAAGCCTGGAGAGGGCCGAGAGGGGCTGTGTTTGGAAGCAGGGAGGGGTGAGGGGATTAGACTCAGAGTGCCTAATCATGGGGTTCGAATAGCCCACAGTGAGCCCTCCCTCCCCGCCCCTGCCTTGGTTGTGAGCCTGAGAAACAATGATGACACATGTCTAATCCCCCTTTTGCACCCTCTTCTCCCCTCTCTGAATCCGGAGACTGGTCATCTCAGGTTGCTGTGAAATGAGCACGTTTCTGTTATTCACTTTGAAAACCTGCTGTTCCTATTCATTGTGACTGGAAGGCCCACCAGAAGAGGTTTTGCAGTTCCCTTCCACCTGTTCTCAGTGTGGCTGCGTCGCAAACCCTGTTCCTTTTCCACGTTCATTTCTCACCACTGGCTGGTCTTTGTAGCTGTGAGGACTTCAGGGCAATGGAAGAGAAACAGCTCTGAGAGAGGAATCCAGCGCCTTGAGCTCTGCTCTCAGTTTACCAGCAACTTGCTACTCAATCTTGGACACAGAACTTCTCTGAACTGCAAATCCCTTGTCATTAAGATGAGGGTGATGCACCTTGATTGCCCAAATTCCTTTCAGTTAAAAGCTTGGTGGCTCTCACTATGGTCAGTTAGGACAGGGAGAACAGTTAGGGGCCAGAGTTCCAATTCTTCCTTGTTTTTAAAGTGCGTTTCTAAAGGGGATTTGTTAAGACTGGGAGACTCTTCATTAGTTTCATCTTCTCGGGTCCAGTCCTGCCACATGGAGCTACCCCTTGGGATTCTAACCAGGATGGCACTCCTCTCCCTTCTCAGGGCCTCAAGCTGAGGACCAGGTGATGGGCCATTTAGAAGGTGGGCTTTTCTTCTGATTCTCCCCTCCTTAGCACCCTGACCAGAGGATGGAGAAAGGGGAGAGAAGGGGGAAGACTAATTGGCTTATTTTGCTGCTCATTAAGCACTCAGATCAAGTTTTTGGTTGTGGAAAAGACTGGAATTGCTGAGAACATGAATCTTTTTTTCCCCTTTCTTTTCTTTAAATGTGTGGAGGGAGAGGGGGAAACCAAACAAAAGATTTTTCTCCTCTGGATTTCATTTATCCACAATCTCTCTGGACCTGTCCTCTCCTCCCCTATGACACCTATCCCAATTAACATGGAAATAAAGTGCTTACTTCATTTCCATTTGGGCAGCTGCAGATACCAGTCGGATTAGAGAGTTGAAGAAGTGGACCTGTACTGATGTCTCACTGAGCTTCCTCTAGCGTACCCCGTGTTACTGCTGAGGGAATGGAGGTGATTAGCAGATATACACAGGCCTGCTGTACCCAAGTGGGTATTAGCAGCGTCTAAATTAGAATTCACTGCCTCTCCTTCAGTGACATGCCTCCAGAATATCCCAGATTCCTCTGAGGGTGTTATTATCAGGCTTTCCTTTGATTGGAAACTCCCTTGGCAATTATTTCTCCAAGCCTAAATGAGGAAGAGGGGGTTGCAAAACCCATCAGAGAATTCATAGAAGCCAAAATTGCGATTCTTAGGCAAAATGAAAGAAAAACCAAAATGGTCACCCTGACCTCCAGCAGACAGAGGCAGCCCCTTAATTTTTTTCTAATTGTGGTCAAATATACATAACATGTATATTTAACATTCGTAACTCGTAAATGTGCCATTCTAGCCGTTTTAAAGTGTGCAATTCAGTGGCATTAAGTAAATTCATAATGTTGTGCAACCATTGATACTAACCATCTCCAGAATTTTTCATCATCCCAAGCAGAAGCTGTGTACCTATTA